AAGTTGAGAACAGGAGGTAGAAACTGGCAAGGAAGTTTAGGGATTAGAGCCCTAAAAGTTAAGAGTTTTATTATCACCTTGGTCAGAAATAGGACATACTGTCGGTGTTTAGGCCAGGGATGGTAGAAGTGGGTTTTGAATTTTATCTCCTTAATAAAAAAACCCCTGACTGGAGGCTTATTCATGAGGGTGTGACCGAAGCTTGAATTTGGGCACTTAAGTTGTTTTAATAGTTTCAAAATTGAATCTAGATTTTTATGGTAAAAGTGGGCTATAGCCATCCCCCAATTTTTAGGTTTACTTTTTAAAAAGAGGGAACTTTATAGTAGTCTTGACTGAGGTTTCTGTTGTGGTCGATAAAGGGAAAGCCATTTCCTGTAACAGAGAAACCAAGATTCCAGAGAGACTGAGCCTCACCCCCTGTATCACCCCACCAGGTCACTGGCCTGGCACTGCCAACGACAAGCAACAGAGAGCAAAGAGTCTACTGAGTCACCTTAACAGGACAGGTGTGCTTGGCCAAGCGACTGCTCTGCAGGTCTCAGACCCTGGAGGAGGCCCGGGCATGGGTAGGGAGGTGCACTGAGATGGTCCTCACTCTGGGTACTGCAGAGGAATGGAGGGCATTCAACAGAGGATGCTCCGTGCGTGGCCACACCCACCGCAGGTCCCCTGTTCCTCTCCTGTGGGAGCCGTCAAGAACCAGCATTTGCAGAGGGCCCAGTGCATGATAACACACCCCACTCTATGACAAACTAAGACTAGCACTTGACCAGGACACCACGGTAACAGATTCATGGACCCAGGAGCAAGGAGCAAGGGCAGGGCCTTCTCTGACCACTCCTTGCCACCCTCCCCTTCCAGAAGTTGTAGGTGGGGGTGAGGTTAGGGGAACTGTCCGGGCCTCCTCTTCTGGCAGCCAGCAGATAAGGGACTGTCCTCTGCAGGGGGGCAGGAAGGCTCCAGTCAACAAGAGCAATTGGGGAAAGCCAGCAGGGGACTAGGAATGATTCAGTGTGCAGCCCCTCCTGAAGAAGATACATAAAACCCGAGCCTTGGAGAGGTCTCCAGCCAGCAGTCACTGGCTCCCTGGCCTTGGGAGCCGGCTGCAGCTCACCTTAGGGACCAGTGCAGCCCCACCAATCAGCCTTCAGATCACCTCCCACAGCTGGAGTAGAATTTAATCCCCCGCCCCCCAGGCTCCTCTCCACACCTACTGGGCTCCCCTTTGATGTCCTTTTTATCTCTCTTTCCAACAAAACCATCCCTTAACAGCTCTGGAAATGCCTCCTGCCACCTGGAGCAGCAGGATGGCAGCCCCAGAGAGAGGCAAGTGTGAAGAGGAGGCCCAGCTCGCTAGGGAGGACCCCGCCCTGTCTTTGCCACTTGTGGCATGGGAAAGGGGACAGCTGTGCTCCCCCATACACCAGCTTAGCATACACCGAGGTGGGATCTAGGAATTCGAAAGCTTCCTTGATGACCATGTATCTCGAATAGCTGTCCTCTATGGCCCTGGTAGAGGGGCTGGACAGATGCTGATGTCACACAAGCATGTTTCATACATGTTGGGGCCTCCCTTAAGTTGTTTCTGTCATAGCAGCAGGACATCTGTCACTCCCGGTAATGATACTGCTGGCCACAGGGCCAACATGCTCCTTACTGAACATCAGTATTGCAGTGGGGGAAACCCTGCATCAGAATCCCGCTCCATAGCCTGAGAACCTGGGCCTGGTCTCTTAGCACCACCATGACCCTCCCTCCCCACCCTACCCCACCCCACCCCACCCCACACCTTGCAACCACCTAACCTCTCTGAACCAAATGTCCCCTGAAAGGTCTTCACTATCACCATGCCCCACTGGCCTTGGGAAAAGAATGTAAGGGGGAGCCGCTAAGGCTGTGACATTCTTATACATACTATATGTCAGAAGCTCCCAGCATTCACAAGTGGCCACAGAGGAGACTGCCCATGCAATGGGGGACACTCTGCAGCCTTCAAGAGAACTGAGGAAGGACTGGGCAATAGTTCTATCAGTAAGATGCCTGCTGGGCAAACACGAAGACCTGAGTTCCAATCCTAAGAACCCACATGCAAAGAAAGCTAGGCATAGTGGCATGCACCTGTCACCCCAGCATAGGGGTAGGAGAGAGAGAGGAGCTAGCTGGATTCCTGAAGCCAGCCAGCCAGCCAGCCAGCCAAGTCCAGTTGATATGTTTCAGGGTCAATGAATGGACCTGCCTTGAAAACTCAAGTTGGAGAGCAATGGAGGAAAGACACTTGTGGTTGACCTCTGGCCTCTACACTCACGTGAAGAGGCTCAACTGCACACACACACACACACACCCTACACTAGCAAACACCCACACACAGACAAATGCATGGGTGGTGAGGCAAAGCAGCTCTTTGCACTTCCCAAGTGCTGAGAGCCTCGCCTGGCAGGAGGCCTTCAAAGCTGCCTGCTGCCACCCCAGCCAGCAGGGGCTCCCGAATATGGTTAGGGGCCATCACCAAGGCAGAGCTATAAAAGGGAGGAAGAACGTGCTTCTGTATGTGTCAAACGGGAGGCAGCGGTGTCTGCGCACAAGGAGATCTATCTTACAGCATGGGCCTCCTGGGACAGGGACCTGAGAACAGGGTGAGGGGCTATCTCTGGGAGTGACATGAAACAATGAGGACCATTTCCCAAGTTTCTGGCTTCCTCCTCTCCCTCCTGAATGTTAGGAAAATACAAAGATGGCAGAGGTGAGGGCTGACTTCGGCGGTGTTTCTCTCCAGGCTTCTGGAAGCAGAATGTGGGGCCATGGTACCTCACCTCACAGTTCACCTGGACTGGAGGAGCGCAGGAGAGGAACATGGCCTCCTGTGACCTCCCCTCCCCTGCCTCGCCCCAGGCGAGTGCTCCACCCTCTTTCCTCTCTCCTCCAGCACCCCTGCCTCAGCTGTGGATTCTGAATTCTCCTGCTTCTAGACCTGAATCACAGGCTCGGATCCCGGGTTCCCTTTGGGGGGGGGGGGCTCTCCTTCACCCTGACCAGTGATTCACTGTTTTTTTCTGTTTCCTTCTTTCCCACCTGTGGCTCCTCCTTGTCTCCCGCCTCTTTGACCTTTCCCACTGACAGAACTTGGTAAGTGAGCCTTGAAGGGCAGGGATGCCTAGGGGAGGGAGGGCATCACAAAGAACCTCCCTCTGCCCCAGCAGGCCACCTTCTCAGGTCTGTGAATACTGTGGCCAAGAGTCCAGGGTTCAGGGGGAGAGAGCATCCTTGTCACCTGTTTAGAACTGTCACACTCCATTGCCTTTGGCTATTAGTGTCCTTTCAGGCATTTAATTGGTCCCCTCCAGCTGATGGAATGGATCCTGCCAGAGAGACCCTAAAATTCTTCAACCCAAGAGACTCAGAGTAGCCATACAGTAGTTTCTAAGAAGCTGTTCTGGGCTTGAGGCTCTGGAGTGTCCCTTACAACCTGCCTTGACCCCAGAATAGGCTGAAAGGGGCTGATGGTGCGTGGCCCCTGTATCCTGTCCATAATCCTGATCCCAGGGACAGGCACAGTTGCCCCTGGCTCTGAGGACTGATAGTACCTCACCTGGCTAGTCCAGTGAGATTCCCACCTCCTGGTGGGGAGGTGGAAAACTCCAGGGGGTACAGGTGCCTGGCCTCTGACTTCTACAGTTCCTCAGAATTCCTGCCCTGGCAGCGGGGACCAGGTCAGCTCAGGATGGATAGGTTTCTGGTGCCAGAGATGCCTGGTTATCCCCTCTTAACCTTGAAGAGCTTGCAGAAGGGAGTCCCCCCAACTCCCAGGTCCCCTGGGAAGCCACGATTACATTGCAGCCCTGTGTTCAACCACAAGGGGCACTGTCCACTTAGGTGTCACATTAAACGGATGGGCTACGTAAGAGCCAGAAGCTCATCTCAGGTTGGTGATCACTGGACACCTGTAGCCAGGGCCAGCAAGCTACTCCTGGTGGGGTGCACACCCCATGGAGAGGGAAAGGCCAGCCTCAGTCAGCTGGCTCCACCCTCATTCAGCTCCCCCCACCAAGCTGGAAGAGATGAGATCAAGTGGTTCTGAGCACACCCCTCCATGAGCCATAGCCTCCTTCCCTTGTATGTGTGAGGCCCTCAGGGAAAAGTGGCCAAGGTAAAAACCCTGAGGTGGACAGAAAGGCTACACCCTGAGCCCAAAGCAATGAACTGGAGCTGCTGATGCAGCAGCCCTAGCAATGGGTCTCCAGGGAGTGAGGCACACGGTGGTGTTCTTTGTCACCCAGTGCCCGGGTTATTTCCATGTCATATATAGCAGCCCAGTGTTCTTCCTAACACGTTTCCTGTCCTCTCCAGTCCCAACCCACTCCGGTCACCTCGTTTTTTGTCTTTCGTTACTTTCCACCACTTATTTCATCTCCTCCTGGGTCTTCTATTTTTTTTTAATTTTATACTTTATTTATTTAGTTTGTAATGGGGAGGCTTGCATGGACCACGACTTGTGTGTAGAAGTCAGAGGACAACTTGCAGGAGTCAAGCTGTCAAGTTCTCTCCTTCTGTGGGTCCTGGGAATCGAACCCATGTCTTCGGGCTTGATGGCAAGCTCATTTTACCCTCTCAGCATTGAGCCATCTTTCCAACACTTCCCTTGGGTTTTAATGTTGGCAGATTCCTCTCCCTCTTTGACACCCCACAGTTGAGAAATGGCCAGGAGGAGGGAAACGGAATAGACGTGGAGAGGTACACTTAGGATGTGACAGGATGACAGATCCAAAGAGGCTCCTTAAGTGAGGAGCTGGAGGTGGAGATGGAGCTGGCCAGCATCATCCAAGGGAAGTCCAGGACTCAGAGAGATGGGGCAAGAAGACCCTCCCTAGCCCGTGCCTCCACCGCTGCGCTACAAAGGCAGTGTTACTAGCCTCAACCTCCAACACCCTCTGCTTCTCCATTCTGGCTCCATCCCCTGATCATCTACACCTTTTACGATGGGCTTCTCCACTCTCCCCCAGGGTCTGAACAGCATGTTCGAGGTGTACCTGGTGGGCAACAACTCGCACCATTTCATCATCTCCCCCACCTCCGTCCAAGGGAAAGCAGACATTCGCATCCGAGTGGCAATCCCCCTGGACTATGAGACTGTGGACCGCTATGACTTTGACGTAAGCCTCCTTCAGCATCTCCTTGGGCTACCTGGGGAGGTCGAAGGGGAGGCTGGGGAGGGTGGAGTAGGATCCCCTTAACTCCTACCTCCCAGCTCTCCTCATCTCCCTAGGGTTCTGTCCCGGAGAAGCAACAGAGATGGCAGGGGCTAAATCCCCAGGGAATATGGGGCTAATTCACCAGACCCACCTCTGGTGTCCCTGTGACCCACGCTGCCCAGCCCAGTACCCAGCACCCCTCCCTCCCCCTGAAGAAGGCCCTGCAGAAGGATTCATTGAGCACAGCTAGCATGGGCCTTGGCTCTAGCAGATACTCAGGGTTAGACCCAGCCTAAACATAGAACAGTTTTATGGGAGACAACAAAGACTCCAGAGATGCTCACGTCACCCTACTCTGCCCCCCTAGCTCTTTGCCAATGAGAGTGTACCTGACCACGTGGGCTATGCCAAGGTGAAGATTACCCTCATCAATGAAAATGACAACCGGCCCATCTTCAGCCAGCCTCTCTACAATGTCAGCCTGTACGAGAACATCACTGTGGGGACCTCTGTGCTGACAGTCCTGGTAAGTCTCTGCGTCCACAGTAGCCATAAACTCTTGGATGTTCCCAGGGACACTGAGCATCTGGGTTTCAGGTGCCACCAAGTGCCTGGAGACTGTTGGTTGGTGAATGACAGTGTCCGGACTCCCCTTGAAACAGGGAAAATAGATCAGACTATGGGGCGATAAGACAGGAAAAGATATTTCGGGTTTTTTTTTTTCTTTTCCTTGAAAGTCATGCTTGCCAGATGATCCAGGAGCCCTAGAAATCCCATCTAACCAGTGGACTGTGTGCTGGCCATCTTTGAGGACAGTGACCCTTTCTATCTGAGTCCAGCAGGTTCGTTGATGCTCAGCTGCCTTTGGCCTTTGCCAAGCGCTCATCCCCACCTGCAGTTACTGTGTCTGTGCCGTTCAAGGCTCTTGACTGCCAGAGGCAGAAGCTCTCATACAGTTCAGCCAAGAAAGCATTAGGTTGTGTAACTTAAAGGAAGAAGTGAGTCCAGGAGTGGCCATATCCAGGTGTTCATCTAAACAATAATCTGTCATTAGCAACAGCTCAGCTTTTTTGCAGTGGCTGAGAAGCAAAGCTCCTCCATATTTCTTACTAGTTTATTAATGCTAGTGGGGGGGAAATAATTTTTTTCAGTAGCTTCAACCACTACCCCAGAACTGTTCTCAGTAGAGGTGTCATCCTGGTACTACCCATGCCAGCTATGGGTTACGCTTCCCTTAGTGGAGCCAGGGCATAGGGATTGGTTCTGTTCAGATCATATGACCTGGCAATGCAAAAGGGGCATCTATCATACATTTGAATTGGTTACTGTGCAGATCAATATGGTAGATGTTACTCTATAAGCTCAGAGTCTGACCCATCGTAGGTACTCAATAAATGTTGTTACCACATCCCCACGCTTGCACATGAGAAGCCCACAGGGGCCTTGCTGCCACGTCTTGTTCCAAGCGGATGTCGCCTGCCGTAGCAGGCCCCCACCCTGAAGTGTGTTTACTCTGTAGACAGATGGTCTGGAGAAACTCTAGGCCCCCAGGCCTTTCCATCTGACAGTTATTAATATTTCAAACAGATGTTTAGCTAGTCAGGCCGTCAGATGGAAACCATGAGCCCGCTATGGCTGTTCTCTGAATCCACTGCTTCCCAGCCCTGGAATCCCCCAGCCTTCACCGCAGTACCTCAGCAATATATCACTCACTGCCTTGGGCTCCTGGACTCTCTCTTCGCCTCCGAGGTCCTACCCAACAAGATGTATGAAAGGCTCCAGGATCCAAAGGGAATGTGTGTCTCTCACATACCATGGACTGTCGGGGGAAGGGTGCCAAACAATCTAAGATACAGGAACCAGGCAGGTAACAGTGATCATATCCATACAGGTCAAGGACCATGTGACAAAGAGTTCTAGCGTGTAGTCCAGGCCTGGTGCTATCAGGGCACTCATTCCTGGAGTCCTTGCTGGGAGAATTCTGTTTGCGTTTGACATTCCTGTAGATCATTGCTTCTTAACCTTCCTAATGCTGTCACCTTTTAATACAGTTCTTTCTGTTGTAGTGACCCCCCCACCATAGTTTGATCACTACAAGAATTATTTTACGTGCAAACTAAACATACCTTTGCTTTAAAAAAAAAACTATCTCATTGCTACTTCATAACTGTAACTTTGCTGTTGTTGTGAAACATAATGTAAATATCTGATCCGAGGATATCTGATATGCAGCCCCTACGAAAGGGTCATTAGACCCACAGGTTGAGAACCGCTACTGTAGCTGGTGGGAGGGTTGGAACACCTGTGGAGCAGGACTGAGATTGAGGCGCGAGCTGAGGAGCATGGCCAGCCTCGGGTGAACATGAGTTGAGCCCCTCAAGTTGGATAGATATATCCAGAGCATTAGTAGGCCTGACCCTGCCATAGACCTTTCTATCCCCATCTCTAGTTCTGCTCATTCTCCTTCCTGCCTGCTGGAGGGCCGCTCACTCCAAGGTGCTTCCTAGCTCCCGGCAGGCAGCAGGTTTCCTGACCATATATATCCCACACTGTGCCCTCTCTGGCCTCCCATCTCCACCCCTCAGACTCTAGCCATCTGGCCATTGTGATCGCTCTTCCTTTTAGATCCAGGTCTTGTCTTTCTCCTGTCTGCCTCAGAAGGGGCCACAGTTACAGCTGCCTGCTCAGAGACTGTGAAATTCCTTCTCTCTGACCTTTTCCACAGTGTTATTAAAATGTTTCATGGGCAGTTGTGTCAGGAAAAAAAATTATAAAGAGAAAGGAAGATGTTTTAATTTGCACCACAGGCTGAGTGGAGCCTGCGGCAAGGGGCTCGCCCAGCCCCCCACCTGGCCACAGCTCTGTTTTGGTGGTTGGGGGAGTGATTGCAAGACAGTGGCCAGGGGAAGCTGGCTGTCGTGACCAGCCTGGGCATTACAGATGGACCAGTGGAGCCCGACCTCTCGTGTCCCTGCTGGCTGGGATTTATAGCACAGGTTTAGAAGTTTACAGAGCCCAGTAATTTCCACGGCAGGGAGTTGGGGTGGTAAGGACCTAGAGGTCAAACTATGACCTTGATCCCAGCTCTGGTTGCTTGCTTGGGCTATCCCTCAAGAGCGCTTCCCTGTTCAGCACATCACCTGTGGAGAAAAAAATGGGTTGAGTATGGCTGGGGTTGCAGCCAGAGCACTTGTGCTGGCGACAGGGAGTAATGGGGGTGGCTAGGATGGCCTTGAGGACCAAGACCTATATCCTTATTGTCTCTTACTGTCCCACTGTAACCCACGTATCATGTGGCCATCGTTTCCTACCTGTTAGGTATCTCCGGTAATTGCCATTCTCCAGATGGGGAAGTGGGGCTGGGGGATAGGGGTTAAGTGGCTTGTTCAGGGCCCCAAAACTCCTAGGCAACTTCAGATATTGAGTAAAGGCTAGCCACAGAGGGACTGTGCTGGACCACTGAATCCCTTCAGCAGCATCCAGGGCTGAGGACAGAGAGGAGCCAGAGAGGACTCTGCAGATCCCAGAGAACAGGCTGCTGGGTCACCCCACATGGACCCTCAAAAACCTCAGGTGCCATCGGGAGAATTTCTACCACTGGGGCTACAGCAGAGAGAGCCGGGGAGGCGTGGGACTGTGCCCAGGGAAACAGGAATCTCAGTGTGGTCAGAAATGTCTGCATCAGAAAAGAGTCCTGGGATAGAGTGTGGCAGGATGTCTGAAGGGCCTGGTAGGATTTGGAGGTGCCATGGGATGATAAGAGACGTTCAAGGTGAATGGAACCACTCATTCGTCCCGCAGATCTTTGTTGACTGCTTGGTATATGCCCCTGAGGACGGGGGGGGGGGGAAGGGGGGGGTTGTCCTCAGAGAGCTCACACTGCCCTGGAAGAACCTGGCACTGAGAAACGAGTCTTTATATCCCATATTGCTCTCTGTGATGAAGGCCAGATCGCCATTAGAAATGGCTACAGGCTACCTGACCCAGATGAGGGTCAAGAAATACATCTGCAAGAAAGAGGCACTATAGGCAGATGAACAGGGGGAGGGGAGGACATCCAAGAGAGTGGAAAGAGCATGTGTAAAGGGCCTGTCACTGGCGTATGGGGAGGGGTGTGGTATGCAGAAAGCTGAGGTTCCGCTTCCTTGAGGCCAGAGCCCTCAAATGTCTCTCTTCATTGCAAACTGACATCCACTCCAATATGCCCATTGGACTGATGTTCAGGTAGTGTGGCCACTTCATAGCAAGCCACTTCCAGGCCCTCGCCTGTTTTGTGGGAGGCATTTGGGAAACAATGCCAAGTCCCAGCCTAGTTGTAGCAGCTCGGAGTCAAGACTTTTAACTGTCTGTATGTCGTGCTCCCCAGTGGGGTAGGGGACGTGAGCTGAGGATGAACGGTGTCTGGGAGGCAAGCCACCCCTGGGACAGTGCAGGTTCCTCTGACTACCGTATGGGTTGGAGGCAGCAGGAGACGGAGCAGACAAAGTGAAGGCCAGCAGCGAGCACACGAAGGCCCTGACTGGGAAGGTCACTATTGTCCTGTCCAGGGTAGAGTACCACCTCCCAGCTACAGGCAGACTGGCCTCAAGGAAGCAAAGGCAGGCTCCCATCCCACTCCATCTTCCATATACTCAGATGAGGCCTCTATGGTCTCTGTCTGGGTTGTAAGTCACCCAGGAGCACCTAGAATCCTGTTTTCCTGGGGCAAGCCATCTTTCTCTGGGGCTTGGCTGCATTTCCTACACAGTGAGAAAGTGGTGCCTCCTTGGCTGCCAGGGAGCCTGGGTGGTGAAATGGGTATGACTGATACAGGTTGTACAAATAGTGTCTTATATTATGGTTGGCCTGTCTGCCACCCTGAGAGCTGAGGGCAAACCAATATCTACCATGGTGAGCTTGGTAGTCGTAAGCCATGAGACCTCAGTTTCCTTCTCTGAGGAAGGAAACTTCTCTGTGTCCTGGGGATGCTTTGCTACCATCCTGCTGGGGAGAGTGGCTGTGAGGATAAATGAAGAAGTCCATGTGAACCCTCAGCTCATTCAGGAGAGCCCTCCTGTCATCCCAGTGTTCCCAGTGGTCTTGACAGCCCCAACAGGTGCCTCTTTTGGAGTCCTGATACTGCCCCAGCGATGGAGAACCTGGACAGTCTCTGAGCCTCTGGGCCCCAGTGACATACGAGGAGGATTTTCTTCCATTTCGCTCATTCCTAGCAACATGGTGTCTCTCATCCTTCCAAAGCCAACCCCACCATCTGCTCTGGACCCTCTCACCTACCCTGTTCCTCTCTCCAGCCTCTATCTGGAAGCTTTGGGGAAAGACCCATGTTCTAGACATCCTAAGGCCAGAACTAACCAGATTCTCCCCCGTCAAGCTGGCCTTTCCATCCCGCCAGTCAACACAGAGCCCCTATCCTCTTTGTCTCTTCTCTGCCTCTTCCCTGCAGCTAACAGAAACCACTGATGCCCAAGGGAAAGGGGAAGTGATGTCATTGCCCCAGGCTGGCCTTCGTGGAACCAACTTCAGTTC